CGCTACCCTGGTCTGCTCTGTCCACTCTCCTCGCCAGAGAGAGCTTCTCAGAGCCCAAGGTCAAGCCACAGCATGAACACAGTCTTATTTTCCAAATGGTTGCAAAGGTGCTGTAAAATATTTTGAATGCAAAAAACCGATTTTACAATTAAATTAAGTGTGAAAAGTAGAACTTACCTTTTTACTTTGCTAGATAAAGTCGCAAAGCCGTGTTGCAGACTTTTGCATGTTTCCGTCAGCCGGAGCGACTTCTCATTCAGATATGTGCTGTTTCATGAAAGAGATTTTAAAAAGATTGATTTAACATGAGAGGTATAGGATGTTGTTAACGAAATGCAGATTTAATTGATAAAGCACGCCCAAATGAAGTCTGAATTTCATTCCATAATGGATTTCCCCATGGAAAAGGAAATGGGTATTTTCACCTCTGACGGGTCTCAATTAAAAAAAAAAAAAAAATCTCGCACTATAAAGTCAAACGGAAATGAACTCTCTGTGGAAGACTTCATATTTTCAGGTTTTCATATTTTGTGGTTCGTATTTACAACGAACACATTATTGACTAGTTTTAAGACTGCATAGGACATAAACATTTTTCAAAGACATTGTCTCTGGCAGGAAGCACGCAGACACTGGAGATCAGTAGGTCTCTCCAAAAAGAAAGCAAGGGAAACCTGGCGCTTGATTTTTATAATGCTGTGATATAAAGGTCGGTTGCTATTGTTTCACGAACTTGGAAAATTGGAGTTGGACAGAAACCAAATTAAAAATCAAGGGAAGGAAATGGATTATGGAGTTGGGCGGCCTCATGAGCCTTGAAAACACACCTGTGCTATTTAATCACACCAGACCTCAGCTTCCACGTCTCTAGTCTGACCACCCCCCCCATTCTGTTATCGTCGTGATATATACATGATATAGAAAATAATGTAAAGCCCTTGGTACCATGACTGAAACAGTAAATCCTCAAAAAAAAAAAATATCCAGTATCACTTTCCTGAGACTCCCAAAATACATGTACAGTTCTGACTTAGCATTAAATGCATTTATTTATTCATCCTGAACATTTCTGCTGAGAACCTGGTATGGGCTAGGGGCAGGCACAGGATGCTTAGGCAGCTGTAACAGACAAGGGTCCTTTCCCTGACACAGCAGGCCTTCGGGTCAGGGAGAAAGATACTTGAACAAACAAAGAGCCACACAAATGAATACAGAATTAGGAACTGTCACTGGGATCATGAAAACAGCAGTGGATGTGACGGTGGAGTGTAACAAGGAGACCCTCCCCCACATCCTGAGGGGGCCTCTGAGACAGTGGTGCTTAGGGCAGAGATGGAAAGGATAATCTCCGTGAGCTGGGTGAACTTTGGGAAGTGGGGGGAAGGTTCCAGGTAGAGGAAAAAGCAGGTACAAAGACCCCAGAATGGGGGCCAGCCCAGAGTGTTATAGATCTATCCTAATAACATGGGGAAGCAGGAGAGTAATGTGACACTGATGTATGTTTTAAGAGGTTCGCCTCGCTGAGAAACGAAACGAGAGGTGATAGGGCTGCCAAAAAGGGGGGCAGGTTAGGAGAGAGAGGAGGGCGGTTTGTGTCACTAGTCAGGATACGGTGGACCGCGATGTGATCACAACACACCCAGCTTTACACGGCAAGGTCTGCCCCTCGATCGCTCGCATGCCCACCGAGCTACCCTGGGCAGCTGTGCTCCTTGTGATGCACGGACCCAGACAGCTCTGGTCCTGTGGCACCTTCATCTCCACAACCCGCTTCAGTACCTGCCGTGGCAGGAGAAGAAAGCGCTGGAAAGTCCGACCCAGCACCTGAATGCATTAGCCCAGCCAGCGCCAGCCACGGGCCCAACCTGATTGCAAAGCGGGAGTCACGAGCTGACAGACTTGAGATGGACAGGACTTTGGAATAAATTGGATATGGGAAGTGAGGGGAGCAGGAGGTGTGGAGGTAAAGATAGACACAAGACAGCCTCATAATTAATTCGCTGGTATGGTGCAGAAATGCTTTCTAAAAACACTGTCCACAGAGCACTTAGAGGCTCACAGAATCCCTCTCCATCCTGATCCGATTTTTCTCCCCCTCCCCCGCTGCCTTCCTCCTTCTCCCTCCTCTGCCTCCATGCCTGACCTTCTGTGCTTTCCAATTGTATCATCGTACCTTCCAAGGATTTGTTTATTTCGAATTTGCTGTGTATTTTATTCAGGCAGCATCGCTAATGAAGCGAATTACCCAGCCAACAGTGCTTTGAATTATGATGGCTTTGCAATATTGAATTGTGGGACTGTGACCAGGAGGCACCAATAAGGGTTGAGCATCCTCCAACTTGCCTTAAATTGGAGAGGATCTTTGTTAATAAAAAGTCAGAACAGTTTTGCCCAACTGAAATCACAGACAGACCGATGGAAAGCAAATGAGAGGATCTGGTATAAAGTGAAGACAGAGTAGAAAGTCATAGCAAAAAAACAGAGTCTGTAGTATCGGTAGGTCCAGGCTTGACCATTTCCTTTTTAAAAATCTTTACTCAATAGAGTAGTTATAGGGATGCTACAGAGGGAATGTCTGTGTCCCCCCAGAATTCGCATATAGAAATTCTGACCCCTTGGCAGGTGATGAAGGTCACGGAGGGGGGAGGGAGCCTCATGAATGCAATCAGTGCCCTTATAAAGTCAGCCTGACATGCCCAGTCCGGTCCCCTTCTGCCATGTGAGGTTACAGTGACAGGAAGACCGTCTCTGAGGAAATGAGCCCTCCCCAAATCTGAAGGTGCCACCATCGTGGACTTCCAGTCTCCAGAACAGAGACATGCATTTGGGTTGCTTATAAGCCACTCAATCTATAGTATTTCATTACAGCAGCCTCAACAGACTAAGACAAGGGCTTACACGGGTGTGTATAAAAATACACAGCAGTTGGGGCGCCTGGGCGGCTCAGCCGGTTAGGCGTCCAACTTTGGTTCAGGTCATGATCTCACAGTTCGTAAGTTCGAGCCACACGTCAGGCTCTGTGCTGACAACTCGGAGCCTGGAGCCTGCTTCCGATTCTGTGTCTCCCTCTCTCTCTGCCCCTTTCCTGTTGGCCCTCTGTTGCTCTCTCTCAAAAATAAATAAACATTAAAGAAAAATTTTTCAAAACCCACCCAGAAGTCACTAAATACATGGTCCCTTTGTATTCTCCTAAAGGCATCATTGTATTCCTTCCCCAAACCAGTCATGGTTATGAACACAGGGGTCAGAAACTTCTCCCACCCCTAGAAGCTGCTTCACCGTGAGAGGAACAGAAAGGGAAGTCCCCGGAGTTAGTTCTCTTTGCTTTCTGTTTTTTTCCTGTCCTCTTCTCATTCAGAGACTTCATACGTTTTATTCCTTTTCATCTAATGTCCTTAAAACCTGCCTAGGAAGGCATTAAGATACTCATAGACAGAACCTGTGAACTTCAGACATTTGTCTACATGAGGCATCTGATCGATACAGCCCCTTTTGCTGCCCTCTAGAGAAGTCTCCTCCTCGCGCATGGTGTTTTAAACTATGTTTGTTATTCAAGACAGAAATACAAATTAACAGAACTGCCATGTTTTGAAATGCTTGAATACCTGAGACCCTAAGAGACACCAGGAGTCCTGGGAGATGTGGAGAGCATTAGGCCTTCCAGGGAGAAGGTGAGATCATCTGGTTGGGCTAGCCCGTCAGACCTCTCTGCTGTGAGAATAAGTAAGAGTTAGATGTGGCTTGGATCTGAGAGCTTTAGGAGAACCACAAAAGAGTCCCTTGCTCTTTGGAGAGTAAAAGAAGAAACTTTCGCCGTTCTGATTTGAGAGAAGATATGACCCGGAGACAGACCCTATTTGAGAAGCTGGCCCCCACCGCCGATGAAGATAGACGTCTGAGTCCTCTCTAACTTCTGGATTTGGGGATATCTCTCAGACAAGTCAAAAGAGAAAAAATGATCACGGTACAAGTAGGGATTCTAAAGACTTGGAGTCAGAGCCAACCTGGCAGAGCAAGAGATTGCCACGAGACAAGTGTGGGCTGATATGTAACCCAGCAGGGATTCTCGGCAATCGGGTTGGAACAGCCCAGCTGAAAGCAGCAGGTGTCAGGGAGAACTTGAAAAGGGAAGCTACAGAGGTGAAGCACATCACAGCCTGCTGTGAGGAAGTTCCTAGGCAGGCAGAAGTCAGGACATCAATGGAGGGCCCCCCTGCCACAAACGAACTCAAGTTCATAGTCTGAGCAGTTGAGTCTAGGGAGAAAAAGCACAGGAATGAGGAGGGCTGCCAGATGAGCTCTAATAACCAAAACCCGTGGGGCCAGACTTTTTCGGGCTCAAAATAAGAATTCTATTTCTGTTGACTCAGACTTTTTTTTTTAATTTCAATTTTATTTCAATTTTTTGGTGAAGGCTCTTCTAACACACTTCTTACTAGAATTAGGTAAAGACAGGATTGGGCGACCTATGACCTACTGAGCTACACGGCTTGCTCCCAAGACAAGTCACAGAAGAGACACTGGCATGGGGAGCCTGGGTGGCTCAGTCAGTTAAGCGTCCCACTTCGGCTCAGGTCATGATCTTGGGTTCATGAGTTTGAGCCCCGTGTTGGGCTCTGTGCCGACAGCTCAGAGCCTGGAGCCTGCTTCGGATTCTGTGTCTCCCTCTCTCTCTGACCATCCCGGCTCAGACACTCGTGCTCGCTCGCTCTCTCTCTCTCTCTCTGTCAAAAATAAACATTAAAACAAAAATTAAAAAAAAGAAGAAGAAGAAGAGACACTGGCCATCCTCCTGGAGAGGCACTAGACCTTGGATCAAGTCAGTGCTTGCAGCCTCCCAGATCAGAGAGCAGAGATGGCTCTAACTACCCTGCCAATGCCTCTTTAATCACTCCATTATGAGATCACAGTCTCTGCTCATGAGTCACTGTGTGAGACTGCCTACCTACTCATTTGTGACATTCGTGGCATCCTTTCAGTGCTCTCAGTCGCCTGCTCCCTTGGCATTCTGTCACTTCACCTTGCAAAGCTGCAGTAATGGAGCACGACAGCCCCTGGTATACTACATGGCTGCACCTGACCCCTCAGGACTGCTGGGGAAAAAATCATACAGGTAGGTGGTTGGTGCCTTGATAAAGGCATGGTGCCTGATCCGTTCAGCCTTTTTCCACCTTGATGATAATGTTACATGTCGCCAGCTACCTTCTCTTCCCATTTCCCTCAATGGCTACCTACCCACTTACCGTTCTCTGCCCTCTGAACTTCTCAATCATGCGTCCCGTCTCAGAGAAAAATGTCGCTGCCACGTGTGAACTGATCTTTAGGGATCAGACATCCTTACTTTCCTTCTTAGAGGAAAAAGTCTCTCTGCTCCACAAAAGGATAATCCACCTGCCATCCCCTCCCTCCCCGTCTCCCCTGAGATCTGGACCCGCCCCCTTCATTTTGCTCTCCATTGAACCTTCACCCTTTCCCTCCCACTGCCCCCTCCTCCTCCTCAGGCTCAATTCTCTGCCATCTCAAGGTCAGAACCAAACAAAACTCATTCTGCTCTTCTCCTTTGCCTAATGCCTTGCCTCGCCTTCCAACTGTACCCCGCTGCGTTCACTTTTCTTTCCCCACAAATCCGCCAAACTGTTCTGGGGAGGCATCACCAAAGCCAGGGGTTATTTCAGTCCTCCTTTATGTCCCGCCATCTGAGCCGCAGACCCCCCACGCTGCACCTGGTTCCCATCACAGTCCTCTCTCCCTGTTCTTCAGGATTCTTCTTCCTGTTCTGCCTGTTACTTTTACATAACTGGCTGGTCTTCAGTGACAGCATTCCCCAGGACTCCCTCCAATCGCCTTGTCTCCTCAGCCAGCCTGCTTTCTCCAAACACCTCAACCAACCTCTCTCCCCCTTTGCTCCATCCTAACTGCCCCCTGGGGGTGGTGTTGCGCATGCACATTGGATCCTGTCATTTCCCTGGGCTAAGTCCATCTGGGACCCCCCCCCCCCAGCCACCTCAGGACAGGCTCCACACTTCTTGACTGGACCTACAGAGCCATCCAGGATGCAGCCCCAAAGACTCCGGGCTCCTCTTTCACCGACAGTTTGCTAACTGCTAAACGGTACAAATTCTCCATTCCTTGCAAGTCTTACATTATGGATTCTGATGGCTTGTATTATTTAATTATAGAATTTGTTTATTTGGGTCTGGCAACCAAGACTTCAGGCACATCTTCAATCACTTCAGTATATGTCAGAGGGAAAAAAAAAACTCTTTAATAAGAACTGGGGGGAAAAAACGTACACAGAAACAAGCATTTCTGCCATCATTATCTGTGTGGCTGATCTGCTTTTTAGAAATTCTGTCTCTTTAAAACAGCCTTGAGTCAAAAGCGATCACTTTACAAAGCCACCTGGCAAAATTTCACAAAATAGCAGGAAGCTTAAGGACCACACAGCTCCTGCAAGAGGATAAAAATTAAGCCTCTGAGGATGCAAAAAAAAAACCTCTTTAAAAAAAAAAAAGTGATTCAACCCCTACAAAATAATGTGCCCAGTACTCAGTGGGCAACCACCAGGACCTCGAAAACAGAGTTTACATCACCTTCTGAGCATCACTTGCAGTGAATGCCATCATGCCATTGTCCCCTGGAGAAGTAAAATATCCCAAAGAATAATGTCCGTAGGTGACTAAGGACTTTCAAGACCATGCAAATCCTTTGTCCGGTGGTCATAAAGGGGGCAAAACTGGAAGGTGTTATCTAGATGAAAAGCGTAAAACCTAATCAGTTTTACTCTCTCAGAAGAAAGAACGTTTTAACAGATGGAGAATGCAGCCTAAAACTGGAAAGAGCCCAATGAATGGGAATTTTCCCATTTACTTCTCAGGCTCCTTCCCTCCTCCCGGGAAGAGGAGCTATAAGCCAGGAGTGTCTCCTGACCACCACCGGAAACCCCCCTATAGAGACGTGTAAGAGGTGACAGTGACCACCTATGCTCTGACTTCAACGTCATCAAGCAAAGGTTCTAATTATTAACGTGCCCCCCCCCCCATAGTTTCCCTGAGAGACGAAGGCCAAGTACTCAGCCCACTGCATAGCTTGATTATTCTAGCAGCCTGGTTAACACAAGTCTGCCTTTACACACAGGAACTGGCCAAACCAAGTCTTGGCACCTTACAGAGATGAGGGGCGGACCCTGGGCTGCCTCTTTGTTCAGTCGTTAGCCATGTATCAATGGAGCCCATAGCCTGGGCCACTGGCAATGGTGGCTATCGGAGATAGGACAGTGGACAAGACAGTGTCCTTGCTGCCTTAAAGCAACGAGTCTGGTGAGGAGGACAGACAGGTAAACGCGCACTTATCAGGCTGACTTTGCAGAATGAGCGCTGGCTGTTTTCTGTAATATTAATTTCAAGGAACTGTGAATCTGTGTTTTGGCGGATGTCACGTAATTCAAAGTAACAGTAAATGCTCTTAAAATGACCAGGCAGAACTTCATTCTTTTCCACATGAACACTGCAGCCAACTGAAAATGCAGGTTTCTGCAAAACAATCTCTTGCTAACTTGGTTTCACCTTAATGTTTGCCTGTCTTTGGTCACCCTTGACAGAGATTAGTTGGGTAGCTCTCTCCCACTAAATCAGTAGCCATAATGTATTCTGGCCCCCTACCACTGTTGAAAGATAGCTTTCAAAAATGCAAAGTCATACATCTCATACAGATGTGAAATGAACACGCGTTAAAGATTTTGTTCTATTCATAAGGAGAGAATCAGTTCAAAGGAGAATCCACAGCACAGACACATTTATAGACCAGGAATATCGGGATGAATGTCCAAAGGGGGGCAAAACCAGTGGAGAGGGGGTGGGGAAATCAAGTGGACCTCTACCAGGTCGTTTGCATATTGCTGGTAGGACATCGTTTGCGTATTGCTGAGTTAACTATAACTTACAGAGTTGTGAAACTGCTCCCAAAGGATCAGGACCAGATAACTCCAAGGTGCGTTGTCTGAACAACGCAAACTTAACCAATGAAGCACAAAATTTTCCCTCGACCATTTACAAGATCGCTGCCCATCGCTATGATGTTGAAGGAAAGATCCACAGTAATGAACCTCATAGACTCCCACTTCTGGTAAATTTCAGCCCTTCCGCCCCACAGCTTGCCCCGAGGGGAACAGGCTGGCCAGGCGCAGGTGTGAGTCCTTTCGGGCAGACAGGAAGCACTAACAGTGAGTTACCAAAAGGACAAGTCTGATCCGGAGATTAATGAAAACTTCAAATCCAGATGGGCAACAGTAGGGTCAAAATAGAGATTAAATAAAATAGAAGCACGTTGGGAACAAAAGGAAGACAAGTGACAAGCATTGGAGCATTCGTGTCTCACTGCACTGTCCTTAAGGGTGAGATCCTTGGGGACTGGAGATAAGCTCACATGTGTGGAGTCGGGTGGGATTTGTCCACACTGTGGCATTTCTAAGTATTTATTTAACCCACCATCAATCAACAATATCTTCTTGCACGATACAGCCAAAATCATTCTGACTTTCTTAAAAGTCTATTTATTTATTTTGAAAGAGACAGACAGGGAGCGGGGGGGTGGTAGAGAGAGAGGGAGAGAGAGAATCCCAAGCAGGCTCCACACTGTCAGCTTAGAGTCCGATGCGGGGCTCGAACCCAGAAATCTGTGAGATCATGACCTGAGCCAAAACCGAGAGTCAGATACTTAACCAACTGAGTCACCCAGGCACCCCTGGTTTGATTTTTCTTAACATGCTTCAAATTTGAAAATCTTGGACAAACTAAGTATATTTTCAATACTAATATCTATACTCCTTGAAGCAAAAATTCCACTATGCTCTCCTGGTGAAGCATAAAGACAATGGCAACATCTATTGCGTGGACGTTAGGCACCAGGTGTCGTTTCAAACACTTCATACATATGTCACCTCATTTATTCCTCAAATAAATATACAAAGTAGGCACTCTGTCCATTTTACAGATGAGGAAAACAGCACGGTAAGATTAAAGGATGTATCTGTGCTAGTTAGAACTGGAGTTTTGAAGCCACGTGCTATCGCTCTGTGTTCTTAACCACTATCCGATGCCACTTCCACTAATGGGGGGAAATCTACCTTCAGTGGAGGGCTATTCACGGTCTATAGCAAGCACCACTTGCCCCCCTCCCCGAATCTGAACCTATGGGAGCTGAAAAGACCCTCTCCTTGATCAAACTGTCGTCAGGTTCCTTGAGCTTTTTCAACTAGACCCCGTCCTGGGGCATGTCCTTCAGAGTCCAATTTTAGCAAAGAATCCTGCTGAGTCAGTTTGGCCCGAAACCCTTACGCTCCACATGTGATCACCCTGAATATCTAACGCAATTCCTCATCCCCCACTGTTCCCCAGGTGATATCTGACCACCCTGGCCTGCCTTCAGGGAGAATCCTGCCAGGCCAGTTCAGCCAGAATGCCCCCTTACCCGGATGCCTCCTTTCAGTAAGTGTTCATCCACTAACCCCTGCCCCCATGTGCTCCTTAGCTATAAACTCCCCCATATCCTTGTTGTCCCCAGAGTTGAGCCCAATCTCTCTCCGCTAAACACCCCATTGTGGTGGCCCCCATACCTGTCCCGACAGAACTCTACAGTCTGCTTTACCGCCTTAACAAGTGTCATGAATAATTTTTTTTTAACAGAGCTATTTTGCAATTCTATAAATTGCAGCTAGCTGACAGCAATGCAAAATAATTCTTGTCAACAGGCATACAAATGAATTATGTCCAGTGGAGACACAACGCTCCCCCACAGAGGGAAAATTAGGTTTGCCTCTATTTGATCATTCGTCTCAATATTCCTGATCTATAAATCTGTCTGTTCCTTTGAACTGGTTGTAACACCTTACCAGTTTCTTTACGGATGAGTTAAACACAATCTCTCAAAGGTGTTCATTTTCCTATCTACATGAGAGGCATGATTTTACCTTTTTAACAAAACTATGTTCCAACACTCCAAACGAGAGTGTTGAAGACATTTCCGAACTGAATAAACAGATCACCCTGATCAAGAAGATACACTCTGGTGGCAAACAGACCACAGTTCAGAGCCGTGGCACGCTAGGCACTTAGCTCCAAGAAAGTTCTTTAACTCCTCTGTGCTTTCAGCTTCGTGCGCAAAATGGGGATAATACCGTCTGCAGATTTGATGCAGTTTGTAAGAGACAATGCGTGAACACGCTCAGCACAGTAAATGGAACAGAGAGCTCGCTTAAACGGGACTCAGCAGGAGCCCTCGCGGGGACTGTCATTTTTGAGGGTGCCTCTTAAAGCAACACTCCTGAAGCTGCAATGCGCCTCTGAATCACCTGGGAATTTTACTAAAATCCAGATTCTCAGTCGGGAGGTCTGGCATTGGGCCTAATATTCTGCATTTGTTTCTTTTTTTTTAAGTTTATTTATTTATTTTGAGTGAGAGAATGGGGTGGAAGGGGCAGAGAGAGAGGGAGGGAGGGAGAGAGGGGGAGAGAGAGAGAGCGAGAGAGAGAGAGAGAGAGAGAGGGAGAGAGAGAGAGAATCCCAAGCAGGTTCTGTGGTGTCAGCAAGGAGCCCAATTTGGGGCTTGATCCCATGATCCACGACATGATGACCTGAGCTAGAATCAAGAGCTGGATGCTCGGGGCGCTTGGGTGGCTCAGTCAGTTAAGCATCGACTTCGGCTCAGGTCATGATCTCACAGTTCATGGTTTCAAGCCCCGCGTCAGGCTCTGTGCTGACAGCTCAGAGCCTGGAGCCTGCTTCAGATTCTGTGTCTCCCTCTCTCTCTGCTCCGTCTCCACTCGTGCTCTGTCTCTGTCTCTCAAAAATAAACAAACATTAAAAATTTTTTTTTTAAATGAGCTGAATGCTTAACGCTGAGACACCCAGGTGCCCCCGAATATCCTGCATTTCTACCAAGCTCCCAGGTGATGCCAATCCTACTTGACTAAACATTGCACTTTGAGTGACAAAGTCTTACTCTTTTTTTAAGAGACTCTTTTTTATGATTTTTGTAATGTTTATTTATTTTTGAGACAGACAGAGCACAAGCGGAGGAGGGGCAGAGAGAGAGGGACACAGAATCCGAAGCAGGCTCCAGGCTCTGAGCCATCAGCACAGAGCCCCACACAGGGACTGAACCCACGAACCATGAGATCATGACCTGAGCTGAAGTCGGACGTTTAATCGACTGAACCACCCAGGTGTCCCAACAAAGTCTTAAGCTTGATCGATGATCACGTTCTTCTACCCTGATTGTTTTCTCCTAATAGCCTAGAATAAGACTTTCAAGAAATGCAGGACTGCCTCACAGCCAGTAGCGTTAGCGGGAAAAACGATGAAATAATTTGAAAAATTACAAGAGTAAAGTGAGCTAAGTTACCATGCCACTAACAAGAGTTTGTTGCGGTTTTTAAATTTTCAGATGAAAAGCTCAAGGAGGGAAATAATTTAAGAGGAGATTTATGGTACTGAGAACATTTAACATGATTGCTTTTCTGAGTCAAGACACAGCGCTCAGCCTCCCGGGAGCTCTGCTACAGAGAACACACAACCAGCCTCCATTGTCACTGATACTTCCATTCGGCCCCACCACCCCATCAAACGCAACCTTCCGATGGGGACTGTTCCAGAAAACTGGACGGTAAGTGAAGGACATGGCCTTTTCTGAGAGAATGCCAATGGACGTGAGTTGCAAATGTATCTAAAATGGCATTTAAAATCCATGTTTAAGGGGCGCCTGGGTGGCTCAGTCGGTTAAGAATCCAACTTCAACTCAGGTCACGATCTCGCGGTCCGTGAGTTTGAGCCCCACGTCGGGCTCTGGGCTGATGGCTCAGAGCCTGGAGCCTGCTTTGGATTCTGTGTCTCCCTCTCTCTCTGCCCCTCCCCCGTTCATGCTCTCTCTCTGTCTCAAAAATAAATAAACGTTAAAAAAAAATTTTTTTAAATAAAATCCATGTTTAAGTGTCCATATGAGCTATGCAATCTCAATCAAAGCTCTTCATCCCAACCAAAAAATAAACAAATTTCTCTGTCAACTAAGTATTTCGTCAGTAAACCTTGGAGAAGTGAATAGTAAGATAAAAATTTAACTGGGGGGGGGGGGCGCCTGGGTGGCGCAGTCGGTTAAGCGTCCGACTTCAGCCAGGTCACGATCTCGCGGTCCGTGAGTTCGAGCCCCGCGTCGGGCTCTGGGCTGATGGCTCAGAGCCTGGAGCCTGTTTCCGATTCTGTGTCTCCCTCTCTCTCTGCCCCTCCCCCATTCATGCTCTGTCTCTCTCTGTCCCAAAAATAAATAAACGTTGAAAAAAAAAATTTAACTGGGAAAATAACTTTTACCTGTATTCCATGCTGAGTCTATAGTGGTGTCTGAGGTAGCCATATGGCCACCGGATAACACTTAAGAATTTAAAAATATGTGGGGTGCCTGGGTGGCTCAGTCGGTTAAGCCTCTGACTTTGACTCAGATCGTGATCTTATGGTCTGTGAGTTCGAGCCCCGCGTGGGGCTCTGTACTGACAGGGCGGACCCTGGAGCCTGCTTCAGATTCTGTGTCTCCCTCTCCTTCTGCCCCTCCCCTGCTCGTGCTCTCTGTCTCTCAAAAAATAAATAATAAACATTAAAAAAAATTTTTAAATATGTAAATATTTGAACCACAACTACAGTTTTAAAATAATCTTAGTCATGAAAGAGTAAAATCTGCCTTATAACCTGTAGGTCCATAGTTCATTTTTATAAAATCATACTTCATATTCATTTTCAGGAAAGCATTAGGGTCAAACACTAGGAACCTCCTGAAGACGCTTTTACAGACTCTTCTTTAAAAAACAAAATGAACAGGGGTGCCTGGGTGGCTCACTCAGTTAAGCGTCCGATTCCGGCTCAGGTCATGATCTCACGGTTCATGGGTTTGAGTCCCACGTCGGGCTCTGTGCTAACAGCTCAGAGCCTGGAGCCTGCTTCAAATTCTGTGTCTCCCTCTCTCTCTGCCCCTCCCCTGCTCATGCTCTGTCTCTCTCTATGTCAAAAATAAATAAACATTAATAATAATAATAATAATAAGCAAAATGAACAAAGGTGGTGCAACGGTTTCTGATCATCGGAGCAAGGAGAAATTAACTCAATACAAACTATGGCAAAGACTGGGTACCAACGTGGAGGAGCTGCCTAATCAATATTGAAGCTCCAGGGAAATAATATGCTATGAGAACATAAATATCCCCAAAGCTAGGCACTGAACACATCTGAGCAGTGAGCAAAATCCTAATTTACTGGTTTAACATTAAAAAAATAGCATATGGTGGGATGCCTGGGTGGCTCAGTTGGTTAAGCGTCTCTCGGTTTTGCTCAGGTCATGATGTCGCGGCTTCCTGGGTTCAAGCCCCACATCGGGCTCTGCACTGGTAGCATAGAGCCTGCTTGGGATTCTCTCTTTCTCTGTCTCTCTCTCTTTCTCTCTCTCTCTGCTCCACCCCTACTTGGAC